TTTGCTTGTTAGGCCACTTTGGTCGGATCAATCCATTCTTCTATTTTATGTTATTTAATTTTCTAACAGCAGTCGTAGGAGAGAGGCGGGACAGACGCTGGACAGGTAGGGGGTTCATCACATTGCAACACAAAGATAAAGAATAGAAAACCATCCCAATGTGAAATTAGATCCAGGAAAACCAGTTAACCTAACGCGGATGTGTTTAGATGTCATGGAGAAAACCCATGAATGAAAGGGAAAAATATCCAAACATTACTTACAAAGATTATTGTCAATTGAATATCTCCTTTTTACACCTAGAGATGCTTAAGCCACAGTTGTTGCATATCTGTTCACAATCTTTCAAAACTGCTTTTTAGGTCTCTGTGTGAACAAATGCCTGCATATTTCATTGATATTTTATATTGCTGTGCTCCCAGTAGGTCGTTGAGGTCAAGGGGACCTACACTGGGAGCGCCAGGTTGTTGTTCCCTGTTGTCCTCACATCATGTTTCTGTTATCTTCTAAGTGATCAGGTATCATTTAGTGCAAAAGACAGATTACCAATCAAAGGAAATGTGTCCTCAAGAAGCAGACAGAAGGCAAAACACTGTACTGGTACGTCACCAAAAACCACTAAAGGAAACGTTTGCTTTCCTGGTAATGGACGTCAGTACCATTTAGTACCATTTGAGCTAAATGGTAACGACTTCCTGAACTGAAAACAAACAAACAAAAAAAAAATGACATAACCCAAGTGACGATATCTCAGTAAGAGCAAGCACAATAAAAAAACCATATCTCAGCCGGAAAGTCTATCTGACTTGAAGATCATCACCTGAGAGGACACCCTATTGTCCGTGTCCATCCAGTTCGGTGCTGGATCCTGTTACCCAGCCACAAAGTGGCAGTTAGCCTCCTGAAAGAGATAGCTCTCCTCGTGGGCCGCTGAGTGACACCATACATCACCAAGGGCAACATACATTTAGGGGGGCTGCAGGTGTTTGGAGAAACCTGACCTTAATCTGTCCTTCAAACACACCAGTTCCCTAAGTTACTCACACCTGCCAGCTCAGCTGAATGTTTTCAGCTTTGCATGCTGGAGGTTAGATCCTGGTAGATTTAATAATAAAATACTTATTAGACAGGACTGGCCTAAAGAAATTTTTTTAAAGCATTTTGTCTCAAGCATCATGCTTTAGCCTGTAAGAATGAACAACAAATGTAAAGGCGCAAAACCTGCAAAACAAACTAAATTGTGCCACAACACAAATATAGCATATTTGTGTTACTCCTATCTAACATTTCACCAATATTCAGATGAATGGACCAACAATTGCAATTGCTAATTTATTGTAGATATAAAGTTTTGAGATCCTGGAGGGAAACCCTGACACCTTTCTCACCAGCCATTATTATTATTATTATTCTAGGGATCCCAAAGTGTCCCCAAAAGAAAGTTGCAACCAACAAAGTGTGTTCTGTGTCTCCTCAAACTGCGATGTACCCAGAAAATTTGAAGTGGGATCATATATCCGACAACCTCCATAGACTAATTCATTTTCTGAGGAGATGAAGAAGACCTTCACCCTATTTCTAAGGCAGAGCCCATCCAACCTGCTTGCATTCAGGATCTTCTTCTTTTGCTCATGATCTGCAGATACATGTATCTCACCATCAGAACCCGGAACACAGATCAACCAGTTTTTGAGTCGGCTCTTTCTTTACTATGACAGACCAGAGCAGTCAAAGCTTGAAGCATCAAAGCTAATCTAAATGACTTTCAATGATCGCCACAGCAGGACAAGTAATATGCGGCAGCCTTGGTGAAATGATTTCACAAAAAATGCAGACATAACTCATAAGAACTGGATATCTATTAAAAACATCCCCAGCACAAGATAAACCTTAGCACTACACACACGTGGACTGAACAGCCAGTCTCGCATCAGCATCACTACAAAAGTTAAGATCCGGTCTGTGCTTCATCAGCCTGGAAATAAACCACATGGTCTCTTCTGTTTCCAAGGTTCACCAGTTAGTTGAAGCCCATTCTTTCTAATGTCCAAGAATTTCTTCTTCAGTCCTTGTTTTGTTCACTTTCCTTATTTATTTAGGCGAATTCTGCACAATGTTGTCATGATCAGGCGCAGGAGAAGAAGAAAAAATAATAAACATAATATGGAAAGAAGCAAAAAGGTTACACAATTTTTTTTTTTCATGGTAGTGTAGATAGATTTACCTCCCTCTCTTCCAGAGCCATGTGTGTCATGGTTGAACCGGTCTTCTGTGACGATTCTCGGTCCACAGGTGTGCAACTCGGGCACACAAACTCCAGCACAGAGGCTTTAAAATATGAGAATATCTTCCATATTTGAGCCTCTTCAGTTCAGCAATGGTCTAAGCTATTCTGTCTTCGGACACTCCACTGTCCTTCATCCAAAAAAAAAACAAAACAAAACAAAAAAAACAGCCTTAACACAAACCCTTCACCACAATTCAAGACAGCAAGGGATGAAACTGCTGCTTCCTGCTTGGCTGCTGCTTTGACACTGGCGATTCAGGAGCGGGCCACCTGGTTCTGGAAGCAGGGGGCTGCTCAAACATGAATGGAGCCGAGGCAGCAAACATTCATCCAGCTCTTCACCCGAGCGTTGAACTGTGTGTGTGTAGGAAGAGTGTGTGGGTGTGTATTTTTTTTTTTTATGTCTATGTCTGTGCAGGTATGTAACACCAGGTTGCTGTAATCCGATCCACCCAGAGACCCACTCTCACCCTCCTCCACACAACATACAGGAAAAGTATTCAGTTACTGATCTTTGATTAGATGGATGTATTTCAAAGTAATTACCTGCAACCTGATGAAACTAGAAGGTAACAGATTATTCCAGGGCTGAATTAATGCAACCTTATTCGTTCCAGTTCAAATGATAAACATTGACATCACTTCAACGTCCAGCACAAAAGAGTTTATTTTTATGAATGTGAAATAAAAAATAAAAAAATGTGTTATGAGATTATTTAGTAAATTACACTAGAGCCCCCCCAAAAAAAATTAGCTTTGGGACACATTTAGTTGACAGAAAATTAGAAATAAAAGAAGCTGACATTGAAAACATCCATCACTGTGAAACACTATCAACGGATCTGCAGCTTCCACCTTTTGTTTGTCATTTGCTACAGTTCTTCCTTGTCAAGCCACGCGGTGCTGTCGTCTAATTGCATTTGTTTAAAATTTAACAGTGCTTCCTGAAAGCATCAACGGAGCCATCTTACGTTACTGCCTCATGATTGGGGAAACCACGCAGTGATACAAGAGAGCAGGATGGAAAAATGCTCATTAACATACAGCAATGCATTATGTAATACTTACACGTTTGTAAAACCTTCTATAATGAACACAGTCTCGTTTAAAGCTTTCAGACATTGGACTGTTATGTCACATCTGGATATCTAAATAATATTTGGGGAAACAAAATTATACTCTTCACCATAGACATTATATTGTATCTTTATTCTCTGAGATAAAACCAATCTTGTTTCTATAGAGACAAACCTGCTTCCTCCGCAGGTCTAACAAGTTCAAACCAACTTATTCATTTGAGGAAGCAGCTTCATGCTGAAGGGGACTCTTAGTTTCAGGGAGCTCTGTTAAACTGCTACAGATACTCTACAACTTCAAGGTTTAAAAATAATTAAAAAACTAAGTAAATTCTAGCAGGCATCAAACCTTACCTTTGATTCCATGTCGGACTTCTTCTTCGGACTCACCGCTACGACTCTGCTGAGTTTCAGTGATGTTCAGGGTGAGTCTGCGGCTGATATTGGGACAGAGGGATGCGCTGTGCAAACCACCTGTCTTGTATTTATGGCTGTCCATGCCGCAGCCTCAGTGCATCCTCTGATGTCCTACTTTGCTTCTGCTTCTACACCTGACCTTATTCACGTACAAGGGGACAGAGGACTTTACGATTTAGATGCTCATCAAAAGCTGCATGAAATCTGGAGAGTCTGGAATCAGCTATGAACAGGAGAAATGCACTTCATCCCTATTTGAAGATATTTCCGTTTTATAATATGTGCTTTGGACTGGCAGCTCACCAGGATGTTGAGTTTATTACAAAGACAAACAAAAAAGTCTGGTTCAGTTTGGAAACAATCTGAATAACATGGTTGTGTAATTTGAATAAAATACTGATTATTCTGGTAACATACTGTTTTTCTTAATGATATTAACACAATTACTGAGCAAACAAGCACACAAAAAGCAAGTAACACAACTGACAACACATAAGGCTTGGTTAGAAAGTTAAAAAACATCAGGGTAATAGCACAACCTACAGTCTGACATACATCATGACACTCAGCCATGCAAAATTGTAAGAAATGTATTTTGTTTTCATCACAGCAGCCCTTTTATCTACATTTTTTTAATTTGCCTGCAGGTAAGCTATTTTTCTGCAATGAAACTGTTTTTTGGAGGGTGTTTGGTATAAGTCAGTATAAATGGAATAACGTCATTTATGTCTTTATCTCTGCGATGTCAGATAAAAAAAATGAAAATAATTTTTGATGGAGCAAATAGCTTGTCTGGTAGATAACAGAAGTACCATTCACTATTTCTGGCCTTTAATTTGTATTTAGATACCTTAGATACAAACTCAGTTATGATTTCTACACTGTACCTGTAAAAACCTTCTTTTATTCTCTTAGGGTTTCTGATCCAGCTTGTTTTTGTCTATATTTGTTTATTTAAACTCGAAACTGATAATGACACTTTACTCCCAGGAACATTTTTTTAATTTAGCCTTCTTATCCGAGCATCGTTCATTTGACATATTGTATTTACCAAAACTTTGCCTACTTTGCACTGATTCTTTTATTAAACAGCTTTATTGTGAATCACCCCTTGTAAAGCAACGTTATCGTTTCCTGGTGTAACCACGCCCCCTTGAGTTTCTGCAGGTATTGTTCTCTGATTGGCTGTCTCGTTGAAACTTGAAGCGACTGCACCAGCAGGTTTGACAACAAATGACCTGTTTGACTTCAGCTGTAGCTATGCGTCCTCTCTATTGCAGGACTACAACATGGAAAACTGGACAAGATCTGCTAAGGTCACTTACAAGCGCTGGAGGAATCCTGAACCAGGGTAAAAAAAAAAAAAAAAACACCTAGATTTTTGTTTCTCTCTGTAAGTTATTGACAGGTGTTATATTCTCAGAAAAAAAATGTGCTTTCAGGGTTTGCTAATGCTCCTTCACTTCCTCATATGAACATATAAATACAGTTGTCTTCTTTTTTGGGGGGGTTAACATTAAGCTGTGAAATTAGTCGTTTTAATTTAGCAATTACTGAACGTGTTCTTTCTGTGTGCTGACAGAGATGAGGGAGATTTTGTGGGTCACACTGATGAAGACCAGGCCACGGATAATGAGATCTGCACCATTGCCTCAGCAAAAGTCGACTCAGGGAGCAGAGAGTCCGCAAACAGCTCTGGAAATAATAAAACTGCAGGTTTGCACAGCCTACTTGTGAATTGCACAGACTTGTTTCTTTGTGTTATCAACTATACTTGAATGCTAACAGAAGCCACAGATGTAGCTCAGTCAGAATCAGCTGATATGATGAATTGTGGTGGTTTTCTAATGGAAAAGAGTGAATGCAATGTAAAGAATGCTTAACTACAGGTCAGTCTAGAAATATGAGAACCGTTTATGTAGGCCGTGGCCTCTTTTAGTGTTTGGTTACACAACTGGATCCATAACTGTGATCAATTCTCTAAAGTTACGCTGCTGATTTATTTCTCTTTTAATAGCTAAACCCACATAGTTCAGTCAGTGAACACTCCTTACTACACTGTCATCCTATTGTGTATTACTGTATTAATAGATACTTGTTACATAAATATGATTGACAATTCTTTGTATTTGTAATCACAAATAACAGTTCAGTAAGGCCAAATAAGTGAAACATTGGTGTTTTTCTACCATACATAGAGTTTTGCTTAAAGGCCTAAAGCACCTATTTTAGTCCTGTCCAACCAGATAATCATCCTCCAGAACAGGGGTCACCAACTCCAGTCCTCAAGGGCTACCATCCTGCAACTTTTAGATTCACCTCTGCTCCAAAATGTCTGAATTCCCTCAGCAGCATTCATTCCTCTCTGCAATAGGCTGGAAACGAGCAGTTTATTTGATCCAGGTGTGTTTGAGGAGAGACGCATCTAAAAGTTACAGGATGGTAGCCCTCGAGGAGTTGGTGACCCCTGCTCCAGAAAGACCAGATTTATGGAACTTTGTTTACTAAGTGTCTTGAGGACAAGGGTTGGGAGACACTGCTCTAATATTCTTTAAAAATCCCTTCAGGCCTTCACAGAACAGCTGGATTTATCCTGAGATTAAATGATTGCACTAGAGTTTATTTAGGCCTTTGAAGATATCAGGCTTTGAAAGCAAACCACAGACTTTTAAAAGTAACTAAAAATAAGAAATCTGCATTTTGTCAACTTGCATCCACAAACTTCAGTGACTTTTTCTTGATATTTTATGTGTCATTTTATTGTGAAGTGGAAGGAAAATGATAAATGGAAGCAAAGTGCCTGATAAACTGACACCAGTCGCTGTTTCTGCCTCTTACCTTCCACAGGAACGTTTACAGTGGACGATGCACTGGAAATGATCGGATTTGGAGTCTTTCAGTGGAAGATCTCGTTCGTTACGGGACTCGCGTGGGTAGGAATCCTGAAGAGACCCTGGAGATGCCTTTCTCTCATTCTGTCCGTTCTGCGTGTGTCTCATGTGCTTCTCTGTGTCAGGTGGGAGATTCCATGGAGATGATGATCCTCAGCATCCTGGGCCCCGAGCTGCACTGTGACTGGAGTCTCCCCAGCTATCAAGTGGCCCTCATAACATCAGTAAAAAGCCTTTGGGTGCTTTCTGAGAGTTGTGTGGTGGTTGCTGTTGTTTGCATTCAGCTTGTCTATTCTGTTTGTTTTTGTTTTTGCATCAGGTTGTTTTTATTGGGATGGGGTTCAGCTCACTCGTTTGGGGTAATGTGGCTGACAAGTACGGAAGGAAAGTAGTAAGTGTCACATCTTGGGTTTTTTTTTTTTTTGGTTTTTTTTTTTAGGTGTGTTTCATGACCTTCCAGTACCTTCTGTATTGTTTGTGTCTTGGTGACAGGGTCTGGTAATGTCCATGTGCTGGGCTCTGTACTACGGCCTGCTCAGCGCCTTCAGTCCAGTCTACGGCTGGCTGCTGGCCCTTCGAGGCTTCGTAGGCTTTGGCATCGGAGGAACACCTCAGTCGTACGTTCTCTCGGTCCTTTTTGCGAAAGCGAGATACATTAGCAATTGGTTAATTTTTTTTTTTTTTTGCGTTTGAGTGTTTTTTTTTTTCTTTTTCTTTTTTTTAGAGTGACTCTGTACTCTGAATTCCTTCCCGTGAGAGCAAGAGGCATGTCCATTATGTTGATGGCGGTATTTGGAGTTTGTTTCTACGTGGTTCATCAAAGTTTACACTAAAGATATGGTAACACTTTATTTGAAGGGGGATGAATAAGACTGTCATGACACTTTCATAAACATGACATAACTCCTGTCATGAACATGAATAAGCCTTCATGAATATTTATGACTGTTGTCATAAAGCGTCATTCGGTAAATTATGACACTTCTAATACAAAGTTGACATTATTCAAAATGTCTTTGTTATGACAACTTGACATTAACCAGGAAATCATTACTATTTAAACTTTACCTTTAATAACATAAAGATACCTAATTTTTAAAGTGCAATCAGTAACACTTTTATAACAAATTTATAACAGTAATGACTTCTTGGTTAATGTCAAGTTGTCATAAAGACATTTTGAATAATGTCAACTTTGTTTTAAAAGTGTCATAATTTACCGAATGACGCTTTATGACAACAGTCATAAATATTCATGAAGGCTTATTCATGTTTATGACAGTGTCATGTCAGTCTTATTCACCCCCCTTCAAATAAAGTGTTACCAAAGAAATCACTCAGAAACATTACAGAAATCATTCTCTTCTCCAGGTTTTCTGGGTCCTTGGCACCGTGTCCGAGGTCCTCCTAGCCCTGTGGGTAATGCCCACTCTGGGTTGGAGGTGGCTACTTGGTCTCTCTGCCATTCCAGTGGGAATTTTTGTTTCTTTCTGCTTTGTAAGTATATTTTATAAGATTCAGACGTAAACGTAGCGAAATAAGCTACTGACAAACTCTAACCTGCCTTCATGTGTCACACAGTGGTTGCCTGAAAGTCCTCGTTTTGATGTGCTGTCGGGGAGAAGAGAAAAGGCCATAGCAACTCTGACTCGCATCGCCCGTGAGAACGGCAAAGAATTGCCTCAGGGAACACTCATCGAATATAAACAGGTGACGTTGGAGATAAATGTTTCCTCAGAGATGAGATGATGACGATGTCAGGTTATTTATATGTACTAGCACAAACATTTGTTTATGACTTTTATTTTCACAGAATGAACGTGGGCAGTATAAAGATCTTTTTTCTCAACAGTACTGGAAGATTACTCTTCTTCTATGGTTTATATGGTTAGTTTGTTTAATGTGTGTGCTTTGTTCTCAACTTTCAGCTTTAATCAAGTTGAAATATTTGGGGTGAATCAGTGGGTTTGTAGCTAGTTAGCATTTAGCAAAAAAAAAAAATTATATTAATTTTTTGGGCTCTATCAGAACATGTATAACCATGTACATAAATGTCATATTGGAGTTTTCCATTATTTATTTGATCTATTCTTTTATTTGGAGTGACAGAATTTTTAAACAAGCAAAAGTATTTTTTTGATGCACAAGTTTGAATTTCTGTTTTGTAATTCACACACCTGAACTGAGCCTCTGGTCAGGTTGGATATTTGACTGAAATAAGTTAAAAATGATTTCAAAAGGGCTTATATGATCGGCAACATTCTAGAAGCTAGTGCTAGTTTGATCCTGTGATTTAAAACTTAGTAAGATTATTATTGTTGAGAAACCAGATTTATTTAGGAAGGATTTTGAAAGTAGGTTAATTAGCTTTAAATAATGCAGATTAGTTTTTTAGAAATTGACAAACTTGCCTCCCTTTATTTTTGTATATTAAAGAGATGGGGCTCAAATAAATTATTACAAAGCCAGAATAAATATTGTATTTATGTCCGTTGTACATGTATATACACACACACACGTCTAATTCTAGCTATATTATTTATTCTTCAGTTTTTTTTTTATTTCCAAAATCTAATATTTGTCCCTCTTCTTCTTTTTTTTCTTTCACCAAAGGTTTTCTTTTGCCTTCTCTTACTTTGGGATTGTCCTGCTGACCACTGAACTGTTCCAAACAGAGTCATGCGGAAGTGTGTACTATATTTCACAAATTATAATAAGTTATACTTTTATAAAGTGACCATAAAAAGATATTAACAGCTCTCGCCTTCCTTATAGTGGCCCAGGGAAGCAGCATTGAACCGAGGTGCAGCTTAGAATGTAAATATTTGACATCAGCTGACTACAAGGATCTGTTATGGACAACCTTGGCAGAGTTCCCCGGTAAAACATTTGCCAGTATTTTTTATTTTATTTTTTTTTCTGAGGACTCGATCTGAACTGTAACATTGTTGTGTGCTTTAACAATTTTTCCCTTTTTGCTTTGTTTGTTGTTGTTTTTTTTGTTTGTTTTTTTAGGCCTTTTAATAATCCTGTTTGCAGTTGATTACCTTGGCAGAAAGAAAAGCATGGCGATTTGTTTTTTCATGTTTTCTTTGTGTATTCTGCCCTTGTATGCTTGCATTGGGAGGTGAGATTACTCTGTGATACAACAGCAAACGTACACTTTGAGACTCGTGGCATCGCTGACACTGACTTTTTTTTTGTTTTGTTTGTTTTTGTAGGATAGGTCAGACGATATTCATCTTCATTGCAAGAGCCTTCATCTCTGGAGGATACCAAGTTGTTTTTGTTTACACACCAGAGGTATGAATCAGTTTTGCATTAAAAATATCTGTAGACAAACTGTTGCCCAACACATGTACTTATTTTTATGATTCAGGTTTTTCCCACAGAAATCAGAGCCTTGGGCATGGGGACTTGCAGTGCTTTTGCAAGAGTTGGTGCTCTGATTACCCCATTTGTGGCTCAGGTATGCAGCTCCACTATACAGTTGAAACGCCAGATATTGATATACAGTGCATAAAAATATACATAGCCATATTTTCTCACAGTCATACTAAACTTTTCCTGTCGTAGGTTAGTTAAAATTGCCAGAAATATTTCTATTTGAGCTTTTGTGGAATGTCACCATTCTTCTTCAACAGATCATTTCACTGATAAATCAGTGAAGATATACATCAACAAACAGTTGCTAAAACTGCTACACACCAAAACCTCTTGAATGAGACTTTAATTTTCAACAAAAATAACAAATGTATTTTCTTTCTATATAAACATATGAAGAAAAAAAACTACAATAAATCACCTTTTTTGCAGTAGCTGGGGGGAAAAAACATGTAAATTTAAGTAGGTTTAAGCATTTGGAAATTAAATCACATTTGATTATCTTGAACAGAATAACACTGTTTAGACTCTATAATTGCATATTAAAGCGAGAAGATTTTCAGTTTTCTCTGACAAACTGATTGTGTCTGTCATTTTCAGGTGCTGCTCAGGACATCAATGTATCTGACCCTTTCGGTGTACTGTGGCTGCAGTCTGCTTGCTGCCCTTGCATCCATATTTCTGCCTATTGAGACTCTGGGCAGGAGTCTGCAGGAGTCCAGCCTTGACTCAGACAGATAAACAACATAACCAGACTGTCAAATAGTTCAACACGCGCCATGGACCAATGACAGGTCAACCAGGAAGAAAGTAATATTTTGTGCCATCTAAGCCTTCTGGGAATACATTTGCTTTTGCAACAATGAACTGAATTATCAGAATGATGACTGGACAAGGTCAGAGGGCAATCTTACAAACAGGAGGGAAATAAGTGAAGGGCTGCTGTCTGTGTCTAACAATAGCAGAACGATTTTGTACATTATCTTCCATTTCAACCAAAAATTAATTGAGTCATAGTCACCTTAGACATTTTTTGGATCGTTCATAAAATGATGCTGCTTAATTAGACTCAGAAAAACAAGAGGTCACTTTGAGCCAAATGGAAATCAGTAATTTCCAAAATTAATGTCTTATAGTTTTTCTCCTGTCTGTTTTACTGAACTGGATGTAGAAGGAAAAAATCATCTTGGTGAAATAAAACCTGATAGATTGAGGAGTGTAGGAGATCTGTATGATAATGGATTGTAATTTAAAATCTTTTAAGAATTGGAAACAGGAATGTATCATGTTCTATTTCAAAAGCTATCCCATGAATTTTTATTTTATGTATTGGACTAACACAAAATTATCCATTTTGATCAAATGAGAGGACATTAATTTATGCTTTTTTGTGCAGTTTTACAAATAAAAAAAAATTAAACTGTGCTCAATTTGTTTTTATCCTCTCCTTTTACTATCAAACTTTGGCTTCAACAAAAAATATAATGAAATATGTACAACATGGTGACTGCTTGTTCTTTGGGTCAATAAAACTCAAATATTTTACTGAGATTCCAGAAATGTAAATATTTAATATTACATTTGTTTTAATATTTAAATAAATTTTATCAGCATCATTTTATAATCTCAGTCATTTTATTTAAAAACTTATTCGCTGGAGTTTTATTTTATAATTTATTTCATTTTATTTGTTTTATATAATTTTATATTTTAAAAAAGCACGACTTAAATAATATTTATTTCGCAGAATAACAGCATGGTGTGGGAGTTCCTAGTCTGGTCTGTCACCTTGACAACATTGGCCCAATGACAGCCCGCACGCGAACTAGGCCAGCCAATCAGAGGCGGCCGCTAAAGCTGCATGTCATTTCTGCTCCGCTTTGCTACCTGCAGCGTGTTTTGTTTGTCTGTCTGCCGTGAAAATCTGTTGGACCGCTGGCTGGAGCCAAACACGGGACGTCTCGCCCCACTTCACGCTCATGAGGACCCTAGGAGCCGCGGAGGAGACGCGGAGCGGGCTTCCTTGGAGTCAGGTGCCGCTGGATGAGAGGGTCTGACTAGGCATAATTTTCTACCCGGTGACAGAGGCAGAAGCAGCGGCGCATCCTTCTCCCCTCCCTTCCCTGCTCCTCTGTTGCCCTCCACGGCCGCCGCAGTCCACCAGCCATGGCCCTGGTGACTCTGCAGCGATCTCCCACCCCTAGTGCGGCATCCTCGGCCAGCAGCAGCGCGGGGGAGGTGAGTGGGAAAGCCGGGGATCGGGATTTGTGTGAAGAAACGCTCCTGCACGAACCGATACTGTGTGTGGCGACTAATATCCTGCAAGTCACCCCCGCCTGTGTGTTTTGTGCACTTGACAGGGTTTTGTTTCGCTAGTTTGTTGCAGCTTTTGCAGCGGATTTGTAAACAAAATCCTGCAGAGGGGGAGGGGGAGCCGTTCAGGGTTTAGCTGTCAAGTCAAAGTGCTCATTTTGCACTCAGAGGTTGCTCTCTCTGCTTGTTTATTGGGATTTGTGCTCTCACAGCTTTAGCAGTTTGGCAGAGTGGCAGTCTTTTTTACACAGTTTAGTCCACACAGACTGTTGGATTGACCCGAGATCTTTAAGTGATGCAATAAAAACTTACAAAAACAACTCTGTTATGGGGTGGCAGCTGATTTTAAGGGCACAACACGTGGCTTTGCCAGGATAACAATTTCCTCTACAAAACCACACAAACCAGCCTTTTTCTGACAGTTTTTTTATCCCTTATTTTGCAGATTGCAACTGCTGCTTTTGATATTATGCAGATTAAAAACAAATATATTTTCTGAGTTGCAAGAAAAAAACTGCGTACTTTCTTCATCACTAATTATTCATATCACATTTTCTTTTCTTTGGCTTTCAATTCTGTAATGAGGGAGACAAAAATGGATATCCGCTTTCTGACTCTTTAAGAGTTTATAAAGCGTTAGATAACTGACCAGCAGATGGCGCTACAGCAAGCCGTGTTAGAAATCATTTCATGTGAACGTTTAGAAAAACAAAACTATTTAATATTATAAAACAGGTTCGCTCCTATCTGTGCTTAATATTTTTAATATTTTAAAATATTTCAACTTAGAACCAATGAGCTAATTTAAGTAGTATCAACATTTGTTCATCTGCTGTTTTTATTCAAATCAGATTTTCTTTTTTTTTAAGCAGAGTGGTTAAGAATAGCATTAGGAAAAACTTAAATTGTGATATTTTTGATTGCTTTTTTTACGTTTTGGAGAAATAGACTTAATTTTCTCAAAATGACTGCAGTAATTATATATTTTTTTTTACAAACACTAAGCTGATTACATCTTGAATAACTGTTTTCTTAAATAATGAATTAATCTAAATTAACTTTTTAAAATGACAGGAACAGTCTAATCTTTAACATATATTTAAAAAAAAAAGTTGATTATTAGGTAAAATGAACTCAGAGGTATGCAAAGGTAAGCGACCTTCTTAGAGAAATGACCCATATTTCAAAGGCGATCTAAAGCATTTCACTCACAGCTGCTGTCCGATTTCAAAATCTGCACTTTCTTTTCTTCTTCTTTCAGGATTTCGGAAGTGATGATGACAGGAAAAATAACCAGAGGTAAGACTTAATCAGTTACATTATCCTGAAGTTTGACAACATCCTTGTCCAGGCATGGATCTGAACATGATGCATCTTCCAGAGCTTTTCTGAAGCCTCTGGTATTTTCTTGGAATTGAGATCTTTTGTGGGATTTGTTTTCAGTTCGGACTGAACTTTGACTCCAGCATCAAGCATTTCACTGTTCTCTCTATTCTTTCTGCCTCTGTGTAAAGAAACACAGTCTGTCAAAAAATTAATACGGCATTGCATGGATTTGGTAGTACTCATTGTGTGGCTTTTGATTTCTGGTTTCCATGGTGACACCGTTTGTAGCTGTTGCATTGGCCGTGTTGCTGCTTGTAGCTGCGACGGTCTAGCAGGGTGGTTCAGACCAGACATGTAAATAAAGTTTAATATTATTTGACACCTTTATTGATCTTAATCCAGATGTTAAAATTAGAGTATTACATCAGACCAATAAACAAGTATTTTTAAAAACAGATGTGTGGGCTTAATGAAAAGAATGTTTGCTCCTGCTTAAAGGTTGTTCTTTTCAAAAGATGTTTTTAATCAGACAAACGAGACTCATCGGGACATATATTCAAATTTAGTGAAGACGACTGTATGTTTCCTCAGTCTTATGATCATTTTTTTAAAACCCTGAAATACATCGTCAGCTCTGAGATATTACATAGCTGGCTGGCTAAATCCTTGTTTTATTCGTCTGCAAGATATCTTTTCTAAAAAAATAAAAAAAAGATTACGCTGTCCTTTAATTTTACTTACTCCCTCCAAAAGGCTGGTTTTGTTTTGTCATGACAGAGATTTCAGCAGCATCTCTGATCAGAGGAAGAAAAAACAAACAAACAAATTGAATCTATTTTAAGATCAGTTGAAGTCATAACATGTGGACAGACATGAAGATTTCTGATCTTAGAGGTAAAAATAAAGGCTGAACAATTTTACTAAACAAGTTGAACAGTTTTTTTTTTCATACTTTGACACAACAAAGCATCCGTGATAATTGGATGCTGCTTATAGTACTATTGTCTTGGTTCTGTTAAGGTTTTTGGACTTCATTCGTTAATTGTTGAACAGGAAAAAGGCCAAAAAGTTTTTTTGTTAGTGATATTTGTGCTGATATGCTGTGTTTTGGCTTCTCTATCAGATTCATATTGATACTCTGACTGGACCGCTCCAAAACATAATTACTGGTCACTTCACAGTTAGACTTATGGGGAATTTTGTTGTGATACCCAGCTGTGTTGCACGCTTTTTCACGTTGAGTAACGAACGTTGCGTTGTGCGGTACTTCACCCGGTTTGATTTGCACAAATAGTGACTTCTCTAATGTCTTTCCTGAAGTATTTGCACCATGACTTTGCGTTTTCATGCACCTGCAGCCTTAACACCAACAAACTGTCAAAATCTTGATTTTATAGAGGTGGTCACATTTTCTGGAGACCAGTCAGTCAAGTTTTGTTATTATCATATTATATTTGGAATATTCTTTTTGCTTTTATACAATAGAGGTTTGTTTTAAATCGTTTTAGGACCTGGGAAATGCCACGTAATTATCCATGTCGTAATCCACAAAGTCTTTAAATTAGGTTTTACTTTTTGTCCTGTTATTGCGGCGATGTGTCAAACACAAGTCAACATTAAACAACGCTGTGAGAAGAGAGTTTTACTTTTTTTTTGTTAGACTTTATCCTGTATTGCATTTCTTCCTGCCTATTCAATACTTAATTTTCCTCCATGGTTCTCACAAACAAAGCAGGTGAAAAAATAGATTAAATTAAAAAATAAAACAGTTTCTCATGCTCTTGCATAACAAAGTGAATAAACTTGTGTCCCCGCTCAGAAACAAGGCTTTTCTTTATCCAACCAACGTCACAGAAGTCAAGGCATGTGTCAGCAAAGCTTTGCTGAACACTCTTGCCTTTGTGTTGGATTTGTAGGCTGAAAAAAGCCCCGTCATGTTTCGTGATTCATCGTCGGCGCGAAGCCTTGATTCTTGCATGTCAAACATGAGACGTTCCCACCCGCCTGCACACACTCGCATGAATGAAGCGCATTGTTGCAGAGCGTTGCACCGCAAGAGCTGATTGCCGAATCACATGCTGCGAAGGGAAGCCGGCAGCACGGCCATGGAAGAAGCGTGAGGTGGAAGGAAAGGAGAAGATGAAGGATGTGGAAGGCGGTATGAGTCGAACCAAATTAGGCTAAATCCAGCTGGAGGAACGGGCGGCTGCAGGACATGGACACCAGGGTGGAAATGAGGGGCGCCTTCTGGACGAGCTTGAACTTCTCCGAAGTGACTGATAACATTAAAACCAGCAGGATGCATCTGGTTGTGAAGTCTTCACATGGAGCTATTTTCAAAGAGCTGCCTCACCTTGTGGAGAAAGCGTCTGTGACTCGGAGGGAGATTTGTCGCATGTAAGTTCTCAGAGCAGCAAGACGTAGCGAGCTTAAGACAGGAGAGTTTCATCGGGTCGATTTACTAATAGTTCTTACTTTTTTAAGCCTTTCAGTTACGGTAATGTTTAAGCACACTCCTCATCTTTTCATAGTTTGTTTGCAAAGAGCTAGACTTTTGTCTAATCCTTCAACGTGATCTGAAAGCAGCTCTTTGCATGTTTTTATCAGAGGTTTTTACTTGTTTCTCTTTCCATTTCCCAGACCATGTTGGTATCTTGTGTGAGACTAATGTGTGGTTTTCCCAAAAAAACTTTGCAACAATTAAAAAATATGTTATCAGTGGCATACAAGTAGAATATTTTCACCTTTTATTCTGGGTGGCAAATATGCACATATGGAAAATTT